CCCCCCCCGCCAGCCCCAGGACTGCCCCGCATTGCCTGGAAAGGGGAAACGAGGGTGCCAGGAGAGCCCGGAAGAGCCCCGCCGGCCCCCCCAAAAAAGCCACAATTAGGGCATTTGCTGGGCAAGTCCCCATGCCCCGTGGGGTGTGTGGCGATTGGGACTTGAGGCTACCACAGCCTGGGTGCCTACATTTTTGACACCCCTTGTCTGGCTCCTGCCTCCCCCCCATGAAGTCCCCAGGGGGCCTGGGCAGTCAGTAGGGCGCTGTGGTTACCCACGGCAGCCCTGAGTCCGAGCCCCCTTTGCCCGAGCCCAGCAAGTGCCCCACACACGGCGCTGTTCCATTTCACCCCTCCAAGCTGGGGGGGCTCCCTGGAGTCGTCCACAAGGCCCTGCCCCCCCCTCCACTGCTCTGCCCCAGCCTCCGATCTCACTCTGCCTCTTCCTGCTCCTCCCCCAAAGCCTCCCCCACCCCACCTCTTCCTGCCCCCCACCCTGGCTCTGCCTCTTCCCCTGCACCCCCCTTCCTACCCCTCCCACCTACCCCCAGCAGGTGGCTGGGGGGGGGGGCCACATCCACTATTTTGTGCCCAGGAGCACCCAGGGAGTCGGTGCCTATGGCCAGGGGCTGCCCCGCCCCCAGCTACGGAGCAGGGCGCCCAGCCACCGGGGCGCTCAGGGCGGGTGGGCTTCAGACACACCTGCTGCCACGGTGAACTAGGTTAGGCCACTGTCGTGCGGGGGGGCAGCCGGCCTGGCTGGCAAGTGGGCGAGGGAAACCCTGTCAGCCCCCCACCCTCGCTCCCCGACAGACGTAACCACACGTACAGGCCACAGTGCCGCTGGTCCCCCTGTAGGCCTAGCACGCCTGTCAGGCACACCCGTGTGTCCTCTGGTGCCTGGACACACACACAGAGCTATACATACACAGCTACACACACACACACACACACACACACACACACACAGAGCTATACACACACATACACACACACACACACAGAGCTATACATACACAGCTACACACACACACACACAGACACACACACAGACACACACACACACTCACTCACTCACTCAGAGGTTAACAGCCAGGGGTGTGAGCATATGAGT